TGCTAAGACTGGGCACCCTCTTATTGCGTCTTGAGCATCTCCTGCAGATGGGGAAACTGAGGCGGGAGTGGGGGAGCACCCCTTCCCCGGATTCCGCACCCCCAAACCCCAGCCTTCTGACCCTCGGGGCCCCCCACCCTAGTGGGTCTTTGTCCACCATCACTGAGGCACTGACTCCCCCGAGTGTCACTGCTCCTGGCAAGGATGGGTGGGCTTCGAGAAAGGAAGTCGGCCCCATTTGTCAGCACGCAAGAAGGCTGGGATATCCCCCCCCCAAAAAAAAAAAAAAGGTGGGGAGGGACGGGGCGGGAGGGCTGCTCGAGGTGGCAGACACTGAGCTCCCAGGAGGGTGCTGGGGTACAGGGCTTGGCTTTGGTTGGGTCTTTGAATCTGGTAGGACGGTGGCTGGCTGGGGATACGAGGGAGAAAATGAAGCGAGGATCCCTTTTAGGGCTGACTCCGCCCCGTGGCCCCCTTCCCAGTCTTCCTCGCCCGACCTGGACCGCATCGCAGCGAGCATGCGCGCACTGGTGCTGCAGGAGTCGGAGGACACCCAGTTGTTTGGGGATCTGCCGCGTCCAAGGCTCAACACCAGCGACTTCCAGAAGCTGACGCGGAAATACTGAGGCCTGCCAGGGAGCGGGGGACCATGGCTCCCCGCCCCACACTACACCCCCGCCCCGCCCCCAGGGCCCACCAATCCGAGGCAGAGCAGGGAGCGACTTGAGCCCCTCAAGCTTCCCTGGCCTCAGGACTATCGTCCCTGACTAATCCCCTTGTGCCAGGGATGCCCTAATAGTCCACAGCCCCTCCAGCACCCAGGAGCAGGGGGCCAGGCCAGTCTCTTGATTGGGTCTCTCCCTTTTTTGTCCAGCGACTGACCTTTCCATTAACAGATTGGCTTGCTCCCCGGTCAGGGCCGTGGCTAGTTGTAAACACCTAGGGGTCAACTCTGCGGTTTTCCGCCTGGCAGCAGGATTTTTGCTCTCAGCATTGGCTCCATCCCTGAAAGAGCACTGTGAAGCCCCAGCATTGGGCCGTAGCAATCTGCTCCTGCCTAGTAACGGGGTCACTCCTTGTTTTTTGATTGGCTCGAGCCCTTTGAAAGGTTCGACCAATATCCCCAACGGATACTCCCCCCGCCCCCTTTCACAATATCTCCCACCTAATTGGCCTCTGCGCCCCAGAGGCGTGGCTAAGCCCTCCTCCCTTGCCCTGGAAAGGCCCAGGGCCTTCCATTCACCTTCTGTACACTACTGGGGGGTGGCGCCTTTTCCTAATGACTGACAATTTGCCCTTCCTCAGGGATGGCCCGCTCTCCTTTCTGACACCTCCTGTCATTGGTTCCATCCCACAACAGCCTGTCAATCGAAACCCGTCCTTGCACCAGCTCCCGCCTCTTCTGCCCCCCCACCTCCACAGGTGCCTTAAAGGGCCCTTGTCCACCCAAGGTGGGGGGCAGGGGGCCTCACTCTCCGGCCCTGGTGTGGGGGAGAGAATGGGGGTAGGGGTCGGAAGTTAGGAGGGCACTCAAAATAAAAGAGTTTTACCTCTGACAAATGCCTGTGGAGTGTCATTGATTCACGCGCGGCAAAGTTGGGTGGTGGTTTTCCAATACGCAGAAATGAAGATAGACACATAAGGGCGGGGGCGGGAGGACTCCGGGTCTCGGATCCCCTCTCCACGGGGATGAGCGTGGGGTCAGAATCCAGGGTCGTGTCCGGTGCAGCGCGAAACCAAAGGGTCCAGATCCAGTGGAGGGATGGAATGGTCCGG